AGTCACTCACCGGGGCACACACGTCTAGAGGCCATCCCACGTGTGGATTTGCATAAAAGAAGTGCGCAGTTATGCAGGCATGTTCAGAAGGCAAGCGACTGAAAATGAACATACGATTCCACGCCCCCTTATGCATATATGTAAGGCACATGGTCATGCCTGAGGGGCCTGGGGTCTTTTGTAGAGTCTGGGTTGCAGACTCCCTTTCTGGGAAGCTCTAGCCACCAGAGAGCAGCACCCCGCGGTGGTGTGTTTGGGGTTTGCTACGGCAGATGGCAGGCGTGGTGGGGAGGCCCAGGATCCGACGGGCGTGTGTGTTACCCGATATCTCTGTGGGGGCTTTCTGTTCTGGCTTGTCAGACTTACAGGTCTGCATTTACTGGCCGGTATTTAAAAATGCCGCCACTCTAACTTAATGTGATCAGATATTAGCTATCAAAACCATACACCTTCAACACAGTCTAGAAAGACAGTCCCAGGTGCAATGAAGTCATTTTCCTAGTCATGTTTTGAGTAGTGTTATTTTTTAAAATATATATATTTTTTATTGATTTTAGAGAGGAAGGGAAAGAGAGAGAGAAACATCAGTGATGAGAAAGAATCATTGATAGGCTGCCACCTGCACGCCCCCTACTGGGGATCAATCCTGCAACCCTGACCAGGAATCGAACTGTGACCTCCTGGTTCATAGGCTGACGCTCAACCACTGAGCCACACCGACCGGGTGAGAAGTGTTACTTTTTAAGACCACAAATCAAATTATACAATAAAAAGGACTAAGGAGGTGATTACCCAAATTACTACTACTCAAGACATCAGTACAGTCCCTCCTATCTTTTCTCTATGGTTTTAGGATGTGTAGAGAAATACTTAAATAGTAAAATGGCCCTAGCTGGTTTGGCTCAGTGGATAGAGCATTGGACTGCGGACTGGAATGTCCCGGGTTTGATTCCGGTCAAGGGCGCATGCTCGAGTTGTGGGCTCGATCCCCAGTCGGGGGCGTGCAGGAGGCAGCCGATCCATGATTCTCTCTCATCATTGATGTTCCTAACTCTCTCTCTCTCCCTCTCCCTTCCTCTCTGAAATCAATAAAGAAATATATTTAAAAATATATTTAAATATTAAAATGGTCTAACAGCATTATGGCGCCTTAAACAATAATTAGCAAGCATTAATCTAAAAATGACACAAATAGGCCAAGCCCTAAACCAATAGGAGCTTTAAGATAAAATTGTATTCTCGTCCCACTATTACATAACTCTCATCATCACTGCATATTCAATCCCTATTCCAGTTTTTTTATTTTAGAAAATGTTTAAAAAGCGTTTATTGAAATGATTCATGACGCTGCTAAGCCTGGTTGGTTATTTTTAAATTGTGTCCCAGACCTGTGTGAAATTATGGCGATCGTTTGGGGCGTCTTGAAACTACTCTCCAATTTTATGTTTGTTTCTTCTTTTTAAAAAGATATATTTTTATTGATTTCAGAGAGGAAGGGAGAGAGAGACAGAGAGACAGAAACATCAATAATGAGAGAATCATGGATCGGCTGCCTCCTGCACGCCCCACACTGGGGATCGAGCCCGCAACCTGGGCCTGTGCCCTTGACCAGGAATTGAACAGTGACCTCCTGGTTCATAGGCCGACGCTCAACCACTGACCCACACCGGCCGGGCTCTCCTCTGTTCTCTCCGTCCTCCCGGGAGGTTGGTGAGAGCCCCTCGCTCCTCACTGCGGACGGCAGAAGGGCAATGCTCGGTAAAAGCGTGTTTACAAGGCCCCTCGACAGCGGGTCCCGATTTATGATGCAACGAGCTTTGTCCCTCGCAGCCTCTCTGTGGCTCTGGGACAGAAACAGCACCGCCCTCTCAGCTGTATAGACTGGGGATCATGGGCACGTCTGCCGCAGGAATCTCTTGTAAACGCTGCCTTTCAAGTCGGCTGCCGGCGGTGTTTCCCAAGGGTTCCGTTCTCTCCAAGCCCATGTTTCATCCCTGACATGGAGGGAGGCCCACGGAAATCTCTCTTCTCTCCTCGGTTTGTTAGGGTTGGGTAGCCTTCCACTCAGAGAAGAGGAACGTCTAATAGAAATTCCCATGACGTTTGCCCGGCCGGAGTGGCTCCGTGGTGGAGCGTCGACCTAGGAACCAGGAGGTCAGGGTTCGATTCCCGGTCGGGGCACAGGCCCGGGTTGTGGGCTCCATCCCCAGTGTGGGGCCTGCAGGAGGCGGCCGATCCACGATTCTCTCTCATCGTTGACATTTCCATCTCTCTCTCCCTCTCCCTGCCTCTCTCTGAAAGCAATAAAAACATATTTAAAATACACCTTAAGTACCGAATGCTTTTTAAAATCAATCTTCCGGAAGAGTCGTGTATGGGCTTGGAGCACAGCTCCCCTGGCGCTGTGCAAAGTGCTGTCTTGCACTTCCACGGCGATTCTTCTTCCCGAAGCGACGGGGCAGCCTTGCTCTCAGGACTCTGCAGAGCTGCCAGCGCTTTCTTCCGTGCTCTTGTGTAGGCGTCGGGAGAAACAGATAACCGTAGATCTCACTGTCTCTACATTCTTGTTTGCACGGAAAACTGCTGGGTAATACAAGCTCCCATTTGCGAGGCACGCTGGAGCTTACGGCGAGAACGACTTCTTCTACCTCATTTAGTCTTTCCACCGACCACATTCCCCTCTCCTCCCTCCCCCCGTTTTAAAGAGGAATAAGTTGAGAGGGTGTTTTTCCCCCGAGTCAGCGAGATATGAGAGCCGACAAAAAAAAAAAAATTATATTCAGAATAAGAAACCAACTCCTACCAATCCATAAGGCCAAGGAGGCAAGCCGGTAGGAAAATGGGCCAAAGGGGACCAGGCACGGGGTCCTCACCACCAAGGACATCAGCAAACGACACCCTGAAAATGACGGGGCGGGACCTTAAATAGAGCGCATTTTTCTAAATGCCCCTCTCTCCCTCCCTCCCTCTCTCTCTCTCACATACACATGGCAGTCAGTACTGCCACTGCTTTCATTTAGTCATAGGGGTTGTGAGGGAGCCCCCAAACGTAACTCTGTGTGTCTCTGTTACGTCTGGTGTTTTTTGCAGGGAGCACATATCACCTTTATAATCAAGAGGGAAGGGGGCTGCTTAAGCACAGTTGTTGTTGTTTTAATATATTTTTACTGATTTCAGAGAGGAAGGGAGAGGGAGAGAGAGCAACATCCATGATGAGAGAGAATCATGAATCGGCCGCCTCCTGCACGCCCCCTACTGGGGTCGAGCCCACATCCCGGGCATGTGCCCTGACCGGGAATAGAACCGTGACCTCCTGGTTCATAGGTTGACGCTCAGCCACTGAGCCAGGCCGGCCCGGTGCTTAGCACAGTTGTGAAATAAGCCACGCTCCTGGCTCTGAGCACAGGGCTGAGGGTGAGAGCTGAGACACAATCCATAATCTGTCGTTTGAGCCACGAGACGACTCTGCCCGCCACGTCCTCACACGGACCGCCTTGGGGATGAACACAGAAAAGGGTTCCCTCGGGTGTCAGTCGCTAGCCTGGGACCCAGAATTCCTCGGCTACTCTAGGAGATGGGTGAGGTCCAGACATTTCTCATAAGCGTTAGAAGTCACGAGCCTGCTTCCGGGATCATGGTTGTGTACGGGGAGGCTCCTCCGCAGGCCTCTGCTCCTGGTCCCTGGGAAACCTGCCTCTCTGTCCCCTCCTGTGACGGTGCCCTGCTCCGTCTCTAGGACCTGTCACTACTGTGGTTGTATTTCTATCACGTTGAATCGTGTGATCCCCTACCCCATGAGCTCAGGAACAATGTGGGTTTAGGGCCCCCTTTACCTGTCATCCTGGCATAAATGCCTCAAACAGCAAGAGCTCCATCAGCATTCATTGAATGAATGAGTAGTGAATGATTGAGTGAATGACTGAGTGACTAGTGAATGAGTGACTAAGGAATGAGTGAATGTGTGAGTGACTAATGAATGAGTGACGTATGAGTGAGTGACTAATGAATGAGTGACGTATGAGTGAGTGAATGCATGAATGAGTGACTAAGGAATGAGTGCCTAAGGAATGAGTGAATGTATGAGTGAGTGACTAATGAATGAGTGAATGTATGAATGAGTGACTAATGAATGAGTGACTATGAATGAGTGAATGTATGAATGAGTGAATGCATGAATGAGCGAATGTATGAATGAGCAAATGTATGAATGAGTGGATGAATGAGTGAATGGATGAATGAGTGAATGTATGTATTTGTGAATAATGAATGAGTGGATGGATGAGTGAATAATGAGTGAGTGAATATTTTTCCATTGACTTATTTTTCAAAAGAGAGTGGAAGCGAGGGGAGAGAGAGAAAGACATGGTGTGAGGGAAATACATTGATTGGTTGCCTCCTGTACATGCCCTGACTGGGGACAGGGATCTAACCCAAGTTTCTTTTATTTATTTATTTATTTATTTATTTTAAATATATTTTTATTTATTTCAGAGAGGAAGGGAGAGAGAGAGAAACATCAATGATGAGAGAATCATTGATCAGCTGCCTTCTGCACGCCCCGTACTGGGAATTGAGCCTGCAACCCGGGCATGTGCCCTGACCGGGAATCCAACTGTGACCTCCTGGTTCACAGGTCGATGCTCAACCACCGAGCCACACCAGCCAGGCTCTGGTGTCTCTTTGATAAGGGCACTAATCCCAGTCATGAGGGCTGCACCCTCCTGACCTAATCACCCCACAAAGGCCCCGCCTCCAGATACCCTCACAGTGAGGGTTACGTTTCCATGTAGGAATCTGGGGGGGGAGGAGGGGGTACTGCACTGGGGGGTGGGGTGGAAAGAAGCTGTGACACCTTGTCATGGAGCAGACAGAGAGCTGAGAGGCTAAGCCAGCGAGTAGGTGTCCCTGGATGGGGAGGGGAGGCCGGGGACCCCCTCCGGGAATGCAGACAGCAGCCTGCCTGCCGGTTCTGCGGGCTTGTCCCCCGGAGTCGTCCCTACCTGGCACCAGGACACTCGCAGGCTGTGCCCGCCGGCCGGCTGCGCTGTGCTGATTGCAGTCGAGATGCTGCTGTCTGGGCGCCAGGCCGCTGCGCTCCACAGAAGCCCGTTCCGCTCTAATGAGATTTCAGGCAGGATGCTGGGAAGGAGAAAGCCTTTTAATTAGATCGGTAGCAATCAGCTCCCAAACCACAGAAGCCCTTTTCCCCGAGAAGACAGACACGACGCAATTAAAAGCAAGCGAGCCACCTGCGTGGAACACTGCCTGGCTCACTTTAAGGCCATTAAAAAGAACAGGTTCTTGCCCCGCCCGCGCGGCTCAGTGGCTGGGCATCGACCTCAACCAGGAGGTCACGGTTCGATTCCCGGTCGGGGCACACGCCCGGGTTGCGGGCTCGGTTCCCAGTGTGGGGCGTGCAGGAGGCAGCCGATCCGTGATTCGCTCTCATCATGGATGTTTCTCTCTCCCTCCCTCTCTGTAAAACCAATAAACTTATACAGGATTTTTTTAAAAAAATTGGACTTTGTGCCCAATTTAATCTTTCAGGTTCATAAATTATTTTTAAAATAGAAAGAGCAATAAGCTAAGCCATTCGCAGGCGCCACCTCTAGGCGGTGGGGTCGCGGGGTTTACATTTTCCATTTGATACTTTTCAGCCTTTCGTCAGGGCTCGGTGACGAGTGCGTATTTCCTCCGAACGCAGAGGGAAGCTGACCTCTGGGGCCGTGCGGCTCGGGCAGGCTTGGCGCCGTCCCGTGTCCCCACAGTCCCAGGAACCAGCCCGCCCTCTGGGCGGCGGTGCCGGGCCCTTCCGGAAGCCGGGTCCACCACAGTCACGAGTCTCTCCTCTTCCCTTTAAAGGACGAGAAGAACCAGGTGCTCACCACCAACATCTGGCTGCAGATGGTAAGTGGAGGCCGGAGTGGCCCTCGCCTTCCGATGCCCCTGCCCTCGGCCCCGAGACGCCCGTGTGTGGACGGCAGGGCCAGCAGGGGCCCCGGGAGAAAAGCCAGGCCCGTCGTCCCGGACACCAAACGGCTGCAGGTTCGATTCCCAGTCAGGACGCCTACTTAGGTCGTGGCTTCCATCCCTGGTCTGGGCGTGTGCGGGAGGCAACCGATTGATGTCTCTCTCTCCCATCGATGCTCCTCTCTCTCTCTCTCTCTCTCTCTCTCTCTCTCTCTCTCTCTCTCCCCCCCCCTTCCTTTCCCTGTAAAAATCAATGAAAACATATCCCCGGGTGAGGATTAAAAGGAAAAGCTTTGGCAGTTTGCCCGGAAGGGTGCTGGTTGCCAGGAGAACCCGCACCTGGGCGCCCAGGCACTATTTCGAGTCCGTTGCTCCGTAAATAAGCTCCCTCTAATCACGGCTCACTCTTGCAGCGGCATCCTCCGCTTCGCTTGCTTTAAAACTCGTCCCGTTCGTCGCGTTTACTTATTCAGCCACTTCCAAGCCGCCTGCAGTCAGGCTGAGTGATTTACAGACTGAAAGAAGGTTAAAGCCCGGCCGGTGTGGCTCAGTGGTTGAGCGTCGACCGATGAACCAGGAGGTCACCAGTTCCATTCCCGGTCAGGGCACCTGCTGGGGGGTTGTGGGCTCGATCTCCCAGTAGGGGGCGTGCGGGAGGCAGCCCATCCATGTTGCTCTCCCTCTCCCTCTCCCTTCCCTTCTCCCTAAAATCAATACAACATATTTTTAAAAATACACGATAGATACAAGAGCAGCTGCGGGCGGAAGGCCGGGGTTCCGGGGGAGGGTGGATGTGTGGACAGGAAATTGGGCTCCTGGGGTCTCACGTTGCTGAATCCCTGGTCCCAGCATCTAAATCCACCTTCTGGACCCCAGCCCCCCCCGCCCCCCCAAAGTGAATGTTCCTGCAGATGCGCGGTGCTCCTGCGCCTTCCGAAGAGAAGAGCAGGGAGGTGAACAGCGACAGCACGATCAGTTCTTCCTGGGCAGCGGGGGATTGGTCTTGTTTTCCCATCGTCCCACTCGCCCTTGATTCCGTCGGAGGAGAAAGCGGCTGATGTCGGTGTTTGCCTCCTTCTGGTCCTGGGAGGAAGCAGTGGGGGTTCTCCATGGCTTAGCGTATTGTTTCGGGGGGCCTGCCCGCCGTCATCTGATTTGACCCAGGAAGGGAGGCGGCAGGCGCCTCTCTGTTCCTGCAGGGACTTTCTGGCCACTCAGACACTCCCGGCTGCTGCTTTGAAAACGGGGGACATTTGTCACCGAGTCGAGAAAAAAAACAAACACCTGTCTTCTCCGAGCTTGGAATGTCGGCCGTTCTCCCTGGCTCTCGGTGTCCAAGCCTCCTGGGAAGCGTCTCTATTCCTTTTTACCTCCTGATTCTAATTATGGGCCCAACAGCATCCACATGGCAGATGTCAGGCTGTGAACCGTATTTCTTTCTTTCTTTTAAATATGTTTGTATTGGTGTCAGAGAGGAAGGGAGAGGGAGAGAGAGAACCATCAGTGATGAGCGAGAATCATGGATCGGCTGCCTCCTGCATGCCCCCCACTGGGGATCGAGCCCACAACCCAGGCCTGTGCCCTTCACCAGAATGGAACCCAGGTCCCTTCAGTCCCACAGGACAACGCTCTATCCATTGAGACAAACCGGCCAGGGCAACCGTATTTATTTCTAACGCGTTTCCCTTGTTCATTTCTGAACTCTGTCACTTCACACATTGGGCTCATAGACAAGCGAGCCCATGGCTTGCTGGGGGCCGTGCTAGCAACCGTAGTTAAAGGTGATGTTTCTTTCTTTCCCCTTTTTTTTTTTTTAAAAATTGATTTTAGAGAGGAAGGGAGAGAGAGAGAGAGAAGCATCAATGAGGAGAGAGAATCATGGACCGGCTGCCTCCTGCACGCCCCCTACTGGGGACAGAGCCCGCAACCCGGGCACGTGCCCCGACCTGGAATGGAACCGTGACCTCCTGGCTCACTCCTCTCGGCTCTGAGCTTACCTAGTCGTGTCCTAGATCAGTCTCAGTGGTCAAGGCCATACGTGTGCCTGACGGCACTGTGCGTGTCAGTCCTGGACAGATCACTATCTGCAGTGGAACACGTCGGAGTACCCGGGCGTGCAGACCGTGCGCTTCCCCGACGGCCAGATCTGGAAGCCGGACATCCTTCTCTACAACAGGTGGGCCCGGGCGGGAGGAGGGGCGGCTGTGTGCTGGCCTGTGTGTAGCGATCGGCGTGTGTCCGAGCATTTGGTGGATGCGCCTGATCGCGTATCTATACCTTGGAACACTGCTCCCACTGGGCGTTGTAAATGCCCTCCCCCCCCTTATTTTTTTTAACAATTTCTTCTTTTTTAAAAATATATTTTTATTGATTTCAGAGAGGAAGGGAGAGAGAGAGAAACATCCATGACGACAGAGAATCATGGATCAGCTGCCTCCTGCACGCCCCGCACTGGGGACCAAGCCTGCAACCCGGGCATGTGCCCTTAGCTGGAATCGAACCTGGGATCCTTCAGTCCGCAGGTTGACGCTCTATCTACTGAACCAAACTGGTGAGGGCTGTAAATGGCCTTTGAGAAAGCAAGAAATGAGGGCTTCGTCTGTAACCCAAGGCCATCTGCTTGGTAGACCAGATGCCCCAAAGACAGGTATCCAGGCGGGGTCAGTTTCTAGAAGCCTTAAAATTCTTGGCTAATCTGCGTAGCAAATGTAGGACATCTTGTTGCAATGAGGCCTAGAAAGTGACAAGGAGCTAAATATTTCTTAGCGAGAGAGAGTTCCACCCGGCCAGTGGGGCTCAGTTAGCTGAGCGCCCGCCCATGGGCCAGGAGGTCGCCAGTTTGACCCCAAGTCAGGGCACATGCCGGGGTTGCGGGCTCGACCCCCAGTAGGGGGCGTGCAGGAGGCAGCCGATGGATGATTCTCTCTCATCCTGGGTGTCTCTCTCTCCCCCTCTCCCTTCCTCTCTGAAATTGTAAAAGTATATATTCTTTAAAAAGAGGCCACTTACTGCAGACCGGCCGTCCGTCCTGGCGGACGGGCTGCTTCATTTCCCTGACGGATGGTGGACAAGGCCGGTGCTGCCAGCCAGCTGGCCGGGCTGCCCGCGGAGAGGGCGGGCGCCAAGAGGAGCAGGCGTGCCAGGTGCTGAGCCAGGAGTTTCTTGCTTGCTTCCCTCTGCGTTACCCCAAGCCTGCGGTTCAAGGGTTGTTCTGAACGCAGCGGCGCTCTGAGCGAGGAGCGGGCCGAGTGAGGGCGGCTTGTCACGGTCTCCCCTGGACGGAGGCCAGGCCTTGCTGGTGTTGGTGGTCAGCAGCCTGGGCCCAGGAGAGCTGGGCCCCTGAGCTGTGCAGCTGCGGGTGGCCGCCTCAGCCGCGTTGGAGCGTTTGGATTTTGATGAAATATTTTTAAATACCAAAGGAAATTTTGTTTTTTTAAAAAAATATTTTGGTTCAGTCCCCAGTCGGGGGCTGGTATGGAGGCGACCGATGGCGGTTTCTCGCATCGATGTCTCTTCTCCCCCTCCCTCTGGGTCTCTGTGAAATGGGGGTGGGTGGCGGCCCCTGGGGACCCATCTCCCAGGCCGGCTGCGTCCGGCGCTCTCAGACCCGTGGCCGGGTAACAGGTGGCAGCCCCTCCAGGCTGCGGGGACCCGGTCACGACAGCCCGGAGGGCACCGGGGGCAGTGGCAGCTCACGGAGCCCTTTTCCCGTTCCCAGCGCCGACGAGCGATTTGACGCCACCTTCCACACCAACGTGCTAGTGAACTCCTCCGGGCACTGCCAGTACCTCCCTCCAGGTGAGCTGCGTCCTGGGTTCTCCTACAGCGACAAGCCGAGTGAGGGGTGGCCGCCCTGCCTCTGCTCCCACGAGCTGGGAGCTAGTCCTGAGCTCTGGGCAGGGGCCGCCCCCCAGGTGTTGCTCTTGGTGCTGCCCCCTAGATGTTGCTCCCCAGATGTTGCTCTCGGTGCTGTCCCCTAGATGTTGCTCCCCAGATGTTGCTCTCGGTGCTGTCCCCTAGATGTTGCTCCCCAGATGTTGCTCTCGGTGCTGCCCCCTAGATGTTGCTCCCCAGATGTTGCTCTCGGTGCTGCCCCCTCGACGTTGCTCCCCAGGTGTTGCTCTCCAGGTGCCGCCCTCCCTGCGAATGATGCTGCGGTGAACACGGGG